CCCCCCCCCCCCCCCCCCCCCCCCATCTATCACTAAACATCACCCTAAAAAGTAGTTTAATAACTTTTTAAAAACTCTCACCGTGTCCTGTGACTTGCTTCCAGGGAATATGATAGCCAGGACGCAGATGAGCTGAAAGATTGCTCCGCAGAACAGACCATAGCGCAGTAAGGTCTCCAGAAAGCTGGGCTCCGGAATGTCTGGGGGTGACAGATCCAGATGTTCAGGCATCCTTTATGAGCTTGTAACCTGCAAGAATACAAATATAATCACCATAGAATACTTATGTCAGCAATAAGCAAACAATCACTCAGATGCCCTATGAACAGAGGCAAATGTGTGCCTTTGATGTGTAGAAACTGTTTAGGGGTCATTCATTACACACCAAAACCAGGGCGCTGGGTGTAAAGGCTCCTGGTGCTGTGTCCTTTCCCAATCTCCATTTTTCTTCTTTTTTTCCTTATTCCTTTTCTAGATCTTATTTCATTATCTTCTTTTTCAAAAAATTGTGACCTATATGGTTACCATCAATAAATATGTGCATCAGCACCCTACATGATTCGCTACAGTCAGTGGCTTCCTCAGAGGTTCTCTTAGATTGTGCTCCTTGTGTAAGTGTTTGCTTTAGAATGGTCAATTTGGGGTCACATAGGAGAGACAAGGCGTTTCTATAAGATCTACAAAAGGAATAAAGATTAACTGAGGGATAAAAATGGAGATTAGGAAAGAGGACACAATAGGAGGAGAGAGAGATTCAGGGCTTTTCCCCATAGTTCTCCTTAGGGTAACGGGAGGACAAAAACTAGCGTCCTCCCGTTACCCTAATCTCAGTATACCGCGAGCTACAGCTCGCGGTATACTGAGGCGCCGCAGCCGGAGCGGATCCCGACATCGATGTCGAGATCCGCCCAGCTGTGTGAGTGACAGCTGGCTCTGCCTATCTAGAGGCTGAGCCAGGTGTACCCGCCCCCTCCCCCGGTAGGCGCTGGCGGATCGGAGCAGGGAGGGGGGAATCCAGCCCCTCCCCTGTCACGGCTCTCTGCCGGTATGTGTTTGCTCACCTCCCGATCTACTGAGCCGACCTGTGACAGTCTCATTGTCACAGGTCGGCTAGAACTATGAGGTGAGTGAAAAGCACTCACCTCATAGTTCTCCTTTAAAGAAGAACTCCAGGCAAATAGAATCCTAACCCTTGCAGTGGGGATACCTCTGCACCGCAAGAGTTAAGGGTTATACTCACCCGAATTGCAATTATTATTATACAGGATTTATATAGCACTTTACAACATAAGGAAGACATTACAATACAATTCAAGACAAGATGGTAAGGAGGGCCCTGCACCTGAGGGCTTACAATCTAAAAGGGAGTGGCCAGTGATACATGAGGAGGGAGCTGTGTGGGGATGAATTGTATGAGAATGTGCTGGTTGAGTGGTTAGTTTGAGGTGAGATAGGCTTCCCTGAAGAGATGAGTCTTAAAGGATCGCCTGAAGGCAGTCAGAGTGGGAGATAGACGGACAGGTTGGGGTAAAGAGTTCCAGAGGATGGGAGAGACTCTAGTAAAGTCCTGGAGGCGAGCATGGGAGGAGTTGACGAGGGAGCTGGAAAGCAGAAGGTCTTTTGAAGAGCGCAGGGGACGGTTAAGGTTATACTTTCAGACAAGGTTTGAGATATAGTCGGGAGCAGAGTTGTGGCTGGCTTGTAGACTAGTCCCTTCAACCTCGCTTCCCCTCCACTCCAGTGAGTCGTTGTGTCCAATTCATTGTATAGGACGTGAGTACACAGAGGGACATACCATCGGTAGATCAGAGGAGGAGACAGGTTAAAGGGACCGGCCTAGAAGCCAGCCAGGATTCAGATTCCAGTGAGTATACCTTTGTTATTTAAGCTCCCTAGACAAAACCTGATAGTGTGTAGCCCCGCTGCAAGGGTTAAGATTTTATTTTCCCAGAGTTCTTCTTGAAATTCTTCTGCTGTAACTGTGACATTTATAACTGAAGTAGATTACTAGACAACTGCTCTATAATCATATCACTTTTTTATTTTATTAAGTATAGGTATAGTGCTGTCCATTTATGCAGCACTTTACATACTCATACTATTCCTTCACATCATTCCCTGAGCTCAACGAGCTTACAATCTATGCTATCTTAAAAGGACTTGTGTGCTGGTGACATTTCTACAATTTTGCTGACATTCGCGGCGCCATCTGCAGTCACTGCGAGCACGCCCCACTACAAGGGACATATCGGTAAGGAGTGCGACAAGGATAGTACTTTTTGTCATGAACAGGTCGGCACAGAAAGGACAACGAGGACACCTACTGGGGGAAAATAAAGCTGCAATGCATTGATCAGAGCTAATCAGAAGCTGAAGCTGCCCATATACCAGTAGAATTGCGTTGGAAGAAACATTTTCTAATCATGGGGGTCAAATCAACAATGGACTGTAGTGATGGAATAAAGAAGATATACTCACCCGATCCCCGCGCAGTGACCACTCACCTCTTTCCTCTTATGGCTGTGGAATGCCCCTAGGTGTCCTCACTTCTAATGCAAGTGAATGGACCTTGCATAGACGTGATCATGTCAGTGGTCCTAAGGGGAGAAGAGGCTGCAGGGACCTGTGTAGCAGTCAGGCGGGATTCAGGATAGACCAAAATGAGCAGTTAACCCTTAAAGTGTTAGGGTAGTCCAACTGCAAGGGTTAACTTTTGAATACAGTATCCTGGAGCTCCTTCTCAATTTTCAGTTTTGATTAAAGCTAAATTCGAAGTAAAAACCCAAATTTAAAGACCACAAAACAAAAAAAAAAACCCTTGCAGTGCCCCCCCCCCCCC